TTTTACGTCATTGAACGTCGTGCCGGTTCTATCGCGAAACTTCGACAGGTCATAACTTCTTTGTTATAACTCGGATTTCAACGTTCTTTATATGTACGGAATCCTTGTAACATATACTATAACTTAGTTAAGATTATTCATTCTAAATAATCTTATATCAAAAAGTCATTTTTGACGCCTATCGTCTTTAAATTAACTAGCCCTGATCTACGGGCGTTACAAAATGTTTTGTTGTTTTAAAAGCCCAAAATTATCTTTTTGCAAATAAGTCAACTTATCTCTAGACCTAGACAAATACGACTCTAAATTTTCAATCCACATGTGTCTCTCTTCACTTTTGTTCGAAACCCTGCCGAGTTGATCGATTAAGTTAGAATTATTCAAACGGGTTCTTTTTAAACTTTCACCGAAACTAGAGGTTGTATACTTTAGATCATCTAATTCAGTTTTATATTGAGACATAAGAATATTTGGAGATTTAAGAATGTTGTGTACCTTATTTATCACCTTCTCGTATTCGATGATCTGCTCAGGGATGGGTTTCGCAGCGAAACAACTGTCGGAGACACGACCGCCTTCAGTAGCGTATCCTCTAAGCTCCGAACCTTCATTTGTCACTATAAAGGACTTTCCATTGAACTGCGTATCATCATCTTTCACCACGAATCTCCTCCCATGAGTCGGCCTACGAACCTCTTCATCCTCAAAGTCAGTTGACCATACTTCGAATCTGCGAAACTCATCGTTATGTTCCGGCACAATTAAAGCAGGTTTAGCGTCATTAGCACTTTTCGTCTTCTTGATTTCCTCTAGCTTTCTAAGGAAATAAGCCTCATCATCCTCCTCTTCCTTCTTCTCATTCTTTCTCCGCAGCATGCACTCCTTTGCTAGATGATTTTTGCCATGACAATAATTACAGTCATAGCCGGAGTCACCTACGAGCTTCTTTTCCCTTTTCGCTTCTTCCTTTTGAGAGTTGTTCACACTCTCATCCTATACTTTCTCAAAACTGTAACTCCCTTGCCATTTTTGGTTTTTGTTGCGGCCGAAATACTTCTTTGTGAATCTCTTTGGGTTTGAAACCGTCATAGCATAATCTTCCTTACAGAGTTCACAATCGGAGAGATCAGACCCCAAACCGTCATCAATAACCTTCTTTCCCTTTGCCACAAGCTCTAAAGAACCCATTCCAGAAACAACCTTTCCTTCACTTATCACTTCGTCTTCATGTGTCCTCAGAATACCAACGAGCTTTGCCAAGGAGTAGTTTTTGAACTGCTCGCACTACTAGAATATAGGCCTTTTATGACACGTGAACCATGACCTGCGGCGATTTATGATACGCAAAAGTGTGTGCCCTAAAAATAATGTCATCTTTGAAAAAATGTGAGGGAATTAAGACGCGCATTTTTGCGTGACCTAAAATTAATGTCAGCAAAATTAAAAAAAAAAAAAAAAAAAGAACACGGAGGGCGGCCATTAAAAAAAGTGTGTCGTCCAGGAATGTCGCTTTATAATTCTTAAAATGAACGCCCCTACTATTTATCTTATAACAAAATCGCAGGGGATCTAAGGGTTTTTTAACAGGACACACTCTAGAAGGTTCGTTACATCTGCTCACTTCCGCTCATCTCCGCTCACCTCTTCCCATCGGTGACCTCCGCTTACCTCTTCCCGCCGGAAACCATTTATAGATCCTCACGCTCACAAGACTATGATTTAGGGCTCGTTACATTGTGCTTGTGTCAAACTTACAAGGAGATTAAGGGTTTTATGACTTCTCCCTATCGCCATCTATGAACTAAAGAAGCCCTAGATAGGTACGATTCAAGAATCGTGTAAGGTAAAGGTGGTCGTTCCTCCTCCACAAATTAACTCGCAAAGTATCTTTTTTGTTCCTCCCATCAGGTAAGTTGATGGTCCCTCATTCTCGAACATCTATATTCTCGCTCTTTTTTGTTTTCTCTCGATATTTCTTCTCCATTCTCCCTTTTCTGTTATCCTTTTTCTGCTGAATGATGTTTCTCTATTGAGGAACATCAATTGAATCCATAAATTAGAGGTCCCTGAAGCATTGAGTATTGAGTAACAATGCATATGGATTAAGGAGAGCCTAAGCCGACCCAAGGGCAGGGCGACCTGGGCCACTGCCCAGGGCATCAACTCAAGCACCTCCTGTGGTTTCAAGTAAGAAGTTGTATAAGCATTCATAGCATGCCTTATATCTGTTCAATGTTATGTTGAAGCTACTTTTTAAAATTTTCCTGTAACAAATTCTCCCTGCTTTGATTTTCCATAGAGACCGGAACCAGAGGGAAGACCAGGGTTGGAATCAACGGTATGCTTTCTCAAAATCCTTAGGTTTTTCACTCTATGTTTCTAGATTTACTTTTGAACATATACTTCATCAGATAAAATAATGAACATAATGGTCTTAATATTTCTACATACAGGTAGAATTTAAAGAACATCAACCTTGCAGGTTTTGGACGAATTGGAAGGTTTATTTTGAGAATGTCAACATTTAGAGATGATATTGAGGTTGTTGCAGTCAACGACCCTTTTATTGATTCCAAGTACATGGTAAGGGTTTAAGCATATGATGATTTTGTAAAAATTACATCAGATTATTTGAAAGATAACTGTGAGATGATTCATGATTTATGATTTCCCTTTTTAGGCTTACGTGTTGAAGTATGTTTCTACTCATGGCTTATTCAAAGGAACCATCAAGGTTATTGATGAGTCCACTTTAGAAATCAATGGGAAACAAATAAAAGTAACCAACCAAAGGTATATATTTATCCCTTTTGTTACTTGTGAATTTAATTTTTTTTATCCTAAGAAATAAAACTCATGTTTTGTTCAAAGATCCATCAATAATTCCAAGGGGTGATTTTAGAGCTGACTATGTTCAGAGATCCAACCACAAGAAGGTAAATGTAAACCAACAAATTTTGGTTCACTTCTTAAATACGTTTATACTGATTTTTTTGGTGTGAATGACTTGATGTGCAGGGTGGTGCTACGAAGGTGGTGATCTCAACTCCATCAGCTGATGCGCCTATGTTTGTTGTAGGGGTAAATGAGACCACATACAAACAAACATGGATATTGTATTCAATGCCAGCTGTACAAGTATGTATTTATCCCCTTTGGCCAAGGTACTTTTCTTTTCTAGTATGTATGGATAAAATAGATGAATGGTTAAATGCTCATTTTAAAAAGAAACAACTCTTAATGTTTTTTATATAATGGTTCTCTTTTTATTTTTATATATAGGTGGTTCATGAGGAGTTTGGTATCATTGAAGGTATGATGACAAGTGTACATGCAATCACATGTGTTGACATTTATTCAGACCTTCATTTTTCATTCTCTTTATATATGAAATTTTCATTTAAATTTATTAAATTGTTGTTATTTTATTTGTTATCAGCTACATAAAAAATGGTTGATGGATCTTTAATAAAGGATTGGTGTGGAGGATGTGGCACAGCACAAAACATCATCCCTAGCTCCACTGGTGTTGCCAAGGTATATATTATTCTTATATAAAATGAGATTGTAAATTTTTATATTCTTTTTTATAAATCTTTTTATATTTTATAAAAAAATTAGGTTGTGGGAAAGGTGTTGCCAGAGTTCTTTTTTATAAATCTTTTTATATTCTTTTTCATAAATGAGATTGTAATTCTTGGAACTTTTTTTTCACTTCCATGTCGCATAAAATGATTTCAAGTTGTGGAGTTTGTATCAGATATGAAACTTTGGTTCTTCGTGTCCATGAACAACTGATAGTTGTAAAATCTGAATTTAACGGTAAGGACAATTGAGAAATAATAAGTTTTTTTTTTGTTGTTTTAAAGATCAATTCTCCATTTTGTAGGGATTAGGATGTGTTATATGAGTTTTTTTAAGCTTTTGTAAGCAACCAGTAAGAAAAGAAAAGATCGAAGAAATGTTGAGTCTCATCTGTCATAAGTGTGTCGGCAGGAATGTCCAGGTCGATATATTTTTTCTTATTCTTGACCGAATTAGGTTGGAATGTGGTTCCTTTCTAGGAAAGGGTTGGATTTGGTCATAACGATTGTCGACATTGTTGGTTAATGATGACGAAGGGGATGGGATGCATCATTAGTTAAAGTAAGTAAAGAACTAATTAGGTATTTGTGTATAATTCTAGTTAAATTAATCTATAATTTAGAAAGCAAGGGTATTTCAGTACAATCATATGAAAAATTGATTTTTTAATATGTTCTACAATATTAAATTGATTTGAACCTAATTAAAATTTGAGCTTGGATATAAATGTGAGTTTTAAAGTTTGAGAAGGATATATATGCAATTTTAAAATTTGTAAGGATATATAAGTAATATTCAAAGTTTTGAAGGATACAAATGAAAAATTTCCATTATTATTATCTAGTTAGTTAGGAATTGTTTCCTTCATCTGTTTTAATTAGGAAAATTTAAATGTTCACTATTGGACTCAGAACAAGAACCATAATTGAAAAATGTTCCAATTTTGAAGTAAAAATCAGAAAGCACATGCACCATTTTTGTAATTTACTGATAAGAAAAGGTGGTGGGGTGATGGTTATTGTGTGTTTGCAGATAATACATATGACACAACTAATAAGTGGCTTCTGAAAGAGAATCTACCAACAAGTGGTTGAGTTTATATTACAAAACTCAGGACAAAAATATTTCATTCTTGATTCATTATTCCATGATCCTCACACTGGTTGTAAGTACACATACATATCCATCATCACAATCACATGACATGACATATTGTGATTGTGATCCAATACTGATAATTATGTTGTTTTATTATTTATCCATTTTAGATTTCTGATTAATGGTTATAACTTATATGTTATATATTATCTCATTTTCAACCAGTGCTTATGTGCCAGGGCAGCCTTCCAGGTCTGGTGGTATGTTTTGTGCTGATTAATTATCATTCTCTGGATATGTATATGTATAGAAAGGAATTTTTTAATATGAAAAAGGATAAAAGTGTAATGGTTTGGTTGGTTTTCTTTTCTGGTTTGAAGTGCCAGACACTCTCCTACAAATTCAAAAGGAAGATGGCACCAGTAAGGAGTATTCTTTGGGAGCTGCCCTTGAGGCCACCAAACATACTTTGATTCAAGGCAGTACAAAACTCTTATTGGTAGATAATTTTGATTCTACTCTTATACATACATACATACATACATACATACATACATACATACATACATACATACATACATACATACATACATACATACATACATACCATGTGTATTATTAATTAGTTGATATTGATATTGTACAACTAACATGATTATTGTGTAGGATTTCCATGTTGTTCTTGATCAAGAGTTGGGATTGATATTGAAGCTAAGAGACATGATGATTGGTTGGATACATGAAGGGTTTCAGAGCTTCTTAAGACAGCTTAATGATGAGTTACTTAAACAAGAAGGTTCCCCTTTATAGAAATGTAGTATTATGTTATATAGTTAGGAAAACCTCTTAATAACAATGTACAATCAAATCCCTTTAATATCCACGTATTACAACTTTTTGACATGATGTGATTGGATGAAATTGATTGTTTTGGTATATATTTGTTTCTATATGTTTGTATTAGGCGTAAAAGAGTATCGTAATGGCACGTCGTATATGCATATTGTAAATGGTTGCTGAAGTTTATAACACGCAAATCCATGTCATTTTCATTTATGAAAAGGGCTTTAATGATACGAAATGCGTATCCTAAACGTGCGTTGTAAGGTTACGACATGCAAATGTGTGTCGTTTTCCTTTATGACAGGGCCTTCCTTGATACACATTGCATGTCGTAAATGAGCATCGTAAATGCATGTTGTAACTGCACGTCGTAAGTGTGTGTCGTAAATAGACGACGCGCAAAATCGTGTCATCTTTCGTTATGATAGGGCCTTCCTTGACACGCATTTGCATGTCGTCTGAGCGTTTTACAACACTCATTACGTGTCGCAAAAGGCTGTTTTTCTAGTAGTGTCGTGTGCTTTCACTGTTGACACCACAACTCTCCACTCAGACCTTAACCCGTTCATGAATGTTACCTTCTGCTCTATCAGTTCACGTTTGATCTTGTGCTTCACCATCATGCTCAATAGATGATTGTAGTGGTTGAGCATTTGGTCCAACTTCTCCTCAGGATTCTGAACGAAAGCTCCAAACTCCGAAAGTAACAGCATCTGGATGGAATGTTCAAGATCCGTGTCACATGAGTATAGCTCCCAAAGCCTGTCCCATATTTCTTTTGCAGTTTTGTAGGATCTTACTAGGTGAAATGTGTCCGCCAGAAAGGCAAAACGGATGATCCTCATGGCTTTAGCATTGTTGATTAGCTTGTCCTTTTCATCTTTGGGAACGTCATTAACTTCAAGAAGAAGATCATTGTACTCTGCTTGAGTCTTGATAACTCTTTTTGTACCTGTGTGAGCAAACGTATCCTTGGTTATTGCGTCACATATCAACAAACCATTGCCTTCAATCCCTAGCACATAATCTTCAAATTGCAGTGCCCACACTTCATAGTCATTTGGAAATGGAATAGGGATCCTTGTTGTAGATCCAATACCGCTTGAAAGATTGATTGAGTTGGCATGAGAATCGTCATACTGCATGTTGTTGATTTAATGAAAACCTGTATGAACTAGATGTGTAAACCTAGAATTGAGTTTAGGGTAAAATAAAGATCAAGATTCAATGTCTGTAATCGATGAAATCGAAAAAGAAGGCAAACTCAGATCTTATTAAAGTGGAAACCCTAATTTCTCTTTTAACAGAAAAGATGCGTATGGATTACATAGTCTCCTACTCTGATACCAAATGTTGAGAATAATTCTTGAATGATCAATAGATTCAACACGTAAAAGAATCGAGAACATAGAATGAATATCAAATATGTCGAATGATTAATATCTACAGGCTTAGAAGAGCTCGATAAAGAATTGTTACTGTAAAGGCTTGTAGGGTTTAAAAAAGACGATTACAAAATACAATGCTTGCATGCACCTTAAATAGCTAAACCCTAGTAATAAATAATGGGTGCATAGGCCCAACCCAAATACAAAACATACTAAGTTATAAACCACAATGACGCAACACATAAGGCCCACCAAGTTTTATACCCATCGAAGGATATATTTGCAAAGATTGGAAAAAAAAACAACAACCATGGAGGAAGTAAAAGATTAACCACCATTGTAGTCCTTTGAGTACTCAAGGGGAGGGTTGATAGTTAATGATGAATGTAGAGATCCAAAGGAGAATCTCTTTATATGTATCCACCAAAACAAGTCACCAAGCCACTAATGGATGTTACTCCTTTACTTGATTATAGTTGTTCTTAAGCCTATAAGACTTATATGGAATAAGTATTCAAAGGAGAAACAACTAAAGCACCCTAAATTAGACAAAAATTACAAGAAGAAGAGGAGAGGTGAGACACCATGTGCTCTCGGCTTTCATGCACAAAAGGAATGAAAAGAACAAACTGATGGGTATTATGCAAAACATATAATCCTATTTGTGCATGCAACCTTATATTTTGATCTATGTTTTCTCTAATTTAACATACAATATGAAAAACAATATAGAAACCCTAGAACACTAGTATATAATCAAAAATACACAATTAGGGCTATTGAAACATACCTTAATTGTTATATAGTAATAACAATCCAAATCCTTAGTATTGCATAAGCTTTGAAAGCAAGCGTCACAATTGTCACGCCTCTAATGGCTCACACCCAATAATAGAAATGAGAATGATTAAGTAGGAGGAGAGAGGTTGCAAAATTTCGGCTAGGTCTTCTAAAGAACATGTGGCTAAATATCATAGGGTAACAAACCTATTTATAGTCTAGTTAGGAAACCCTAGATAAACCCTAATCCAAGATAATCTTAAACCGTGTAATTATCCATTTTCCTATTTATCTACTAAAGACTATTATAGAACCCTTATGCCAAAAGAAACCGCCGAAGGCTCTATGGAGGGTTCTAGATTGCTTTTTTCTCCAAAATCATCCTGTTTAGTTGCTAGTCTTGAGGGCAACCCAAAAGGACTATGCTACTATCAATTCAAGTGTGTGTGTGTGTGTGTGTATATATATATATATATATTGCTAGTCTTGAGGGCAACCCAAAAGGACTATGCAACTATCAATTCAAGTGTGTAGATATATATATATATATATATATATATATATATGTATATATATATATATATGTATATATCAATAATAGTTATGGGCTTAGACACCTAATCCAATAGTCTCCCACTTGGATAAGTCTAATAACTATAGTTGCTAGTATATTCTTCAAAAAATCATTAGCAAATTGTAGCTCTCAAAGCTGTTATCGAACTCTGACCTAGTCAGAAACGTGATCATATAATCCTCCGTTATGCAAGATATCATGCAGATATGAGACATGTAACAGAATCAATCTCATTGTCCAAAACTTTGTTTCCCAATTTCTGATTTGTAATGACAAAGAAATACTAATCGAATACATCAATTTAGTCCTGACCGGGCCCGACACTATAAGTCAACACCAAATCATCGAGGGCCCCAAAGAAATCGCTTTTTCTCCCTAAGGATAAAAAGGAAAATATAAACTTTGACTTATATGTTTGTGCTATTTACTCACGAAATCATGCACAACAATACGTTTTATAACATCAAGTTACTGATATGTTTACATATTATCAATGCACAACTGATTTGTAAACCACAACTCATATATCTTTGTTTAAAGATTATAAGATATTATCATCTCAGAATTAATCGTGATAAATTACATGAAGTAACTGCTATCCAATGAGCTCTACTTATATTTCCCTGATAAAGAATGACCATGCTCAAAGCAAAAGCCACATTAGAGCGAGTACATGTCATAACATACATGATATATCCAACGACAGAAGCATATAGAAATCTACTAATTTATGCTATCTCTGTATCGGTACTCGGACTCTGAGTCTTACTCAGTTTAGTATTACTCTGTATAGGCAACTCTCCCTTATTGGAATTTTTCATACTAAAACGTTGTAGTACCTTATCTAAATATGTACTTTGACTAAGTCCAATTAGTATTTTTCTCCTATCTCTCAAAATCCTTATCTCCAGAATATAAGCAGCCTCCCCATATCCTTCATAGCGAAACACTTTCCAAGATAAGACTTAACCTCTTGCAAATTTGGAATGTCATTTCCTATAAAAAGTATGTCATCAACGTACAAAAGCAGTAAGGTTACTATACTCCCACTAGCTTTGACATATAAACAAGATTCATCTTTACTTCTAGAGAAACCAAAATCTTTGACTTTCTCATCAAAGCAAAGAGTCCATTTATGAGAAGCTTGTTTCAACTCGTATGTTATTTTTCAAGCTTACACACTCTATTTGGATACTTTACCTCTATAAAAAGCCTATGGCTAACTCATTTAAACATCATCAACCAATTTCCCATTAAGGAGAGCAGTTTTGACATCCATCTACGAAATTTCATAATCATGAAATTCAGTTATGGCTAGCATTATCCTAATAGATTTTATCTTGGCCAATGGTGAGAAAGTCTCGTCATAGTCAACCCCTGGGGTTTGAGTAAAGCCTTTTGCAACCAGTCGTGCCTTGAAAGTGTGTACCTTTCCATCCATGTCAGTATTCTTCTTGAAGATCCATTTGCACCTAACTGTCTTATGACCTGGTATTAAGGTTCTAAAAGGCGTGAGGCGTGGCGTGGTAGCAAGGCCAAGCTTCAAGCTTAACGAGTTATGGCGATCCATGATGTTTTTCAAGGCGTGATGTAAGGCGGTGATTTTGTATTAATTTATAATTATATTACCGCATAAATATAAATTTATATCAAATATACCTAATTTTTAGAAGTGTTATTTCAACAACTAATAACAGAAAGTTAATAAAAAACACAATACTTGTATGTACGATTAGAAAAGGTATAAAAAAGAGCAAAAAAATGTGTCTCAAACGAAAAAACACACGCCATAACACGCCATAACACGCCATGGCACGCCATATAACGCCTTGCTACGCGCCACGCCTAACAGCAACGTTATGAAGCTTTTCGTAATGACGACGCCGTGCCTTGGCAGCCGCCATGGCGTGCCTTTTAGAACACTGCCTCGTACATTATCAACCAAATTCCAAACTTAATTGTCATACATGGACTTGATCTCCATGTCCATTGCCTCTTTACATTTGGCTGACTCATGGCTTGCCGTGGCTTACTTGTAGTTAGCTAGTTCATCCAAATTTACCAGTGTACTATTACTGATAAATGTATCACCATGTGTAGTAATATGGAAACCATACAACTCTGGTTGCATTCTAATTCTAGTGGAGCACCTAAGAGGTAATGATTTATCAATTGGTTAACTATAATTTATTCCTTAGGTTGAGCACTGGCGTTTTTAGGAGTTC